AAGCCGTAGCAGTCGTCGACGTGAATAGCGACAATAAACCCGATATTATTGTTGTAAACTATGGTGCGAATGCCGTCGGTGTTCTTCTCAACGCAGGCAACGGCACCTTTGGTGCTCAGACTACTTACCCAGTTGGCACTAACCCAGTATCAGTAGCAGTCGTTGATGTGAATAGCGACAACAAACCTGACATTGTTGTTGCCAACTCTGGTCCGAGCACCGTCGGTGTTCTTCTCAACACAGGCAACGGCACCTTTGGTGCTCAGACTACTTACTCAGTTGGTAGCACCCCATATTCAGTAGCAGTCGTCGATGTCAATAGCGACAATAAACCTGATATTATTGTTGCAAACCGTGGTCCGAACACTGTCGGTGTTCTCTTGCATTGCTAAGACGTATCGATGATTAGCCTCTATTTATTCATTAATATTTTACTACTCTACTAAAAACATTACGCTTATAAAACATTATACGGTGCGAACTGCTATTTAAGTTTACTCGATATTATAAATTTGAACAAAACATTACGATTATGGATTATATTGGCAAATACACCAGTATATTAATATATCGGACAGTAATTTATTATTTTATAAATAACATTTCTAGCTATGGAACTTTTCTGGATGCATAGAACTATATGTATTACAATTGCTCAAAGTTCAAAACATTAGTTTTGGACGTGTAAACAATATAGCAAAGTTTCATAAGCTTAATTATTGCTTTCTGATTTGTTCAAAACCAGATCATTCGCTTTGCTTAATTAATAAAATTCTCGCTTTGAAAATAAATGAAGCACTACTGATTCTTTGAGGGAAAGTATATTTGAAGACGTGAGTAGTCTGATAAGAATGGTGGTAAAGAAGAAAGACACTCTTACATTCTTCTAAACATAGTTCAATGAAAATTCATATGGAACAGAGATGGGGAAGTTATGCCAGTTCAAGTCGCATTTGACTCGACTTGAAAGATTTGAGACTTGACTTACGAAAACGTTTGAATTGTTCATCTCTAGTATTGGTATAGAAAATATGTATGAGATGTTTTATTTACAAAAAAAAATAACTATTATAATTTTAAAGTAAAGCTTGTCTTTAAATCGAAGAGTTGCATTATAGAGACATACATGATTGTTTTATGTTTAATAGGAAATGTCAAAATACTTTCAAATAAAAGTAAATATGAATGACGTTTCGAAACAATTAATCTCGATAATGAGAATAAAAATAATTAAATGAGAGTTTTTTAATGTTCTACTAGATATAGTGGACGAAAAAAGTCTGTATATTTATATTTTGGCAGAAAAACTATCGTTTCTATATAAATTATCCCAATTATAGTTGATCGACTTATTCCTATGATATGAATAAGGTGGTATTTTTTTATTAGAGGAAAAAAATGACTATAATCGATGATCAGTCGAATATTGAAAGAACCATTTTTAAGAACAGAATAATCGTTTTTATAGAAGAAGATTTCATAATGTATATTGACGAATTTTATAACTAGTAAATGAAAATGTAACTTTTGGCGAACTACGACGATACTGGAAATGTTAAAGTTTCAAATAAATTGCTTTGATGCATAGATTTAGATTAGATGATTTTTTTTTAATATTCATATACAAAGTACTATTGTACTATATCGTATGACTTTCTTTTTCTGTCCGAAACTATTCTTTTAAAGTCAAATCGTTAATTAAAACAAAATATAAGTTTTTATTCGTATAAAAGTATTGTTGATTATATAAAGTTTGTATCATCATTAATTGTCATATCCACAACTATCAGAAGTGACCAGTTGGAAGACAGTGGCAGAATGTAATTGAGTAAGAAACGTGATTGCCACCAATATGTTGATTTTGTTATGTATATTTTTAAGTCATTAAAATAAGATCCGACTGGTGTTGCTTTGAAAACTATAAGTAGTTAAAGACGGTGTATATTACTGATTGATAATGAAGAAAAATGTTGAGCAAATATCATACACATTTCCTTTTACTTAATGAATGAGATTCGATTAGTTATGTTACTGATAATCCTTGTTCAAAATTTATGAGGAATATGTGCAAGATAACTGAATGTTGTGCTGTAACAGTTATTTTGAGAGATGACTTTGGTATTATATCGAAGTCATTTTAAAAGATTCAAAAGTTAAACGATCGATAATTATAATTCAATCAAGCGATTGTTTTGATGATGTTCTTGGAATTTTACTAGAGAAAACAAATGATCAAATGATTCTTCAACTAGAAACCGACTGTCCCTTTTTCGATATTATTTTATCGGTTACTCTTGAGAATACGAATACATATTCTCCAGTAGAGGCTAACTTATCATTTGATTTTTTAGATATAATCGAATTGAAAATCTTAAAGCTAGGCATTTGCTTTTCTAGAAACGAATATGTAACTAATAGAAATAGTTTCTAGTATTGAACTACGAATAATTTTTAATATCTCGTTGAATAGAAAAAAAGCTTATCAGTGTATCTCCTTTGAGGCTAAAATGTGGAACTCATATATTCACCACGACTATTAAGAAAACGTAATCAATGAGTTTCAATTGCGATGTCGAATCACTATTCATCCTGCTGTTGAATTGTAATCTCGATTCTTAAGGATTGCAGTCAGAATAAGATGAGAAAAATCGTCAATATACATAGTCAGATGCTTTTAATTAAGAGTATCCGTCTGTGATGGTAGTCTGGTAGTAAGGAAGAAACAAGTAGGAAAAAGTTGATTTTTTTAAAGGTTTTAGGATTTTTTCATCAGACAATCTTAAAACATTGAGGTTATTGATAGGATACTAAAAAAATCTCAGGTTTTTTGTCGTTGGGATGGGAGAAAGGAGGGTAGCAACGAAACTTGAAATTATAACTTACACTTACATTTTTAAACGTGAGTTCCACAAGACGGGAAGACGGAGAAAAAAAGAAAGAAATATCATTTGTTTAGAGCCAAACGAAACGAGTACCATGTTCATAGAAGGAAAGATGATGAAAACAATGTAGTTAAGTGTATATTACGAATGATGTTCATGACAAATAGCAACTCCGTTTAGAAAAACAATTTTTATACGATATAAATACTTTTTAGCTGAAATTTCTATAGTTAGAATACGTATGACTGTACATAGTTTTTCGAGTGAATTCATAAATAATAACTCAAGGAAACATATTAATGATCGGAAATTTGTATTTCCTTATAGACAATAGCATTATATATTCTCAATCAAAAAGTAGTCCTGATTGTCTATTTCAATACGATTCATTCGAGACGATAGTGAGGCCACTTGGGTATACAAGAGAAAAATATTTAATTACAGTGGATTTTGGTTGGAAAATATTATAAATAAGATAATATTCGGCGTCATTGACAAAATCAATACAATATGTGTTTATTTCTGTTGTTGTCAACACCTACGTTAATTATATATGAAATAAGCAGACGCAGTTGTTTCTCATCGAAGAAATGTGTTTACTGAGCATATAGATGAAGTCATTAGTTCATATCACCACTTTTTTTACCGTCTTTCATGATATTTGGAAAATACTTTAAAAGGACAATTTAGTTAAAAATAGAATAATTTTAAGGAGAGTATGTTCATACATATTTTTTTCCTTTTGTTAACATCTTGATGGTGGCGAATTCAATCCTCTAAATAGCTGAAGAGACAACAATAGTATAGTGTAGCCATGAATGCATCATTGTTGTTGGGAAAAAAACTTGTTGCAAAACATATGGCGCTTTTTTCCGGGAATGAATAATTATTAAATTAGAGAGAAAGAGTATTGCAGAAAAACAGAAAAAAAACTAGTGATGGAAGTTAGGCAAACATTTATGAAATTTTTCAGAAACTAAAGAAGTACAACATGTTTTGGGTAATATTTATTTTATCCTTATTTTCTGTTTGTAATGCTATTCTTATTACTAAAATACAAAATATTATAATAGTTGGTAATATCTATAATACTTTATTGAATGTAACACAAGATCAATGCATATGTGAAATGATAAAAGTAAATGATTCAATATCTGCTTTGAATTATTTTTCAACAAATCAAACTTGTCAATTATTTCGTTCAAATAGTAGTACAATTTTTGTTGAATTTTATTTAAATTCTACTGTTATATTTCTTAATCAATCGTCAATATCAATATTGAATATTCTAGAATATCGTAAGTTTCCATTTTGCAAGACTACAAAAATATCCTAACTATTTATAAATCTAAATTCTAATAATTTGAATGAATTTGATGTTTATGATTTTTAAATTCTAAAATAATTTGCCCCTATCAATGATTTTTTTTCATTAACTATAATTTGTAGTGTTCGCTAATCATTAGTATCTGTCTTCAGAATGGGATCATCCACAAAAAATTGTCCCGATCAGTGAACAGAGAAGTGCTAGTTTCTTAACAAAACCTTATTTAATGTTGTTATTGCACCACATTAATCTTATTTTTTTGAAACAGAGCCGAGTACATCATCATCAACAGCAATACCATCAACATCACCGTCAGCAATATCATCATCAACATCAACAACAACAACAGCATCATCGTCATCATCAACAACATCATCAACAACATCAAAAACAACTTCAACAACAACTACAACATCATCATCAACATCAACATCAACAACAACGTCAACAACAACATCAAAAACGACTTCAACTTCAACAACAACATCATCGTCATCATCAACAACATCAACTACAACATCAACTTCAACAACAACTGGTGAGTGTTGGATTAAATACCTAGTGCTTACGTCGGTTGTTAAAAAGAGAAATAGTATCACGAGCTTTAAAAATTCCGTGCTTGATGCTTCGAATCATCTCAAATCCGAATAAATAAGACGGATTTATTGGATAGAAAACTTCTGAAGATGAAAAAATGATCTTTCTATACAGGCAAGCTAGTATCTATATATGAAGCTGAAGTCAATATGAATTAATGTTTGTCCAATCGAGTTTTTGTAAATATCTGATAGTTCATTATGTTGTTGTCGTTTTTCGATACATAAGATTGTTTACCTTAACCTGCAAAGTATGTTTTGGGAACAATCGTTATTTATCTGGAACAACTAAAAGTACCATTTGACGTTTTATAACTTCTCGTGATTTTCCGGACTTGACTATTTTATCCTTCTCTATACATCGACTAGACTAAGAAGTCGGCCTGTAAACTGATAAGTAAAATTTTATCAGACTATGAAAAACTGTATTATATTTTTATCAGTGCTATACACTGGTTGTGGATGTCAAAGTAAGGTTAATGTAATACCCACGCCCACATCCAAGAGAGCCATAGAATGGAACAAAAGATTATTTCAGTTAGACTTGAGAGTATGAAAAATTATTCAAAAAAGGCTACACGATTCTGTTCATCATCTTAGTGCTAATTGAGACAATTTTATGCAAATTATATACAATTCAACGATCACTTTTTGTTTTTGATAGCCTGCAACTTTTTTCATAATCAAGTTACTTATCCAGTTGGTATTAACCCACGCTCAGTAGCAGTCGTCGATGTGAATAGTGATAATAAACCTGATATTATTGTTGCTAACTCTGGTTCGAATACCGTTGGCATTCTTCTTAACGCAGGCAACGGCACTTTTAGTGCTCAAACTAATTATACAGTTGGCTCTAGTCCACGCGCACTAGCAATCGTCGATGTGAATGGTGATAGTAAAACTGATATTATTGTTGCAAACTATGGATCGAACAACATCGACGTTCTTTTCAACACGGGGAGTGGCACCTTTAATACTCAAACTGCTTACTCACTTGGCGCAGATCCATCCTCAGTATCATTTGTCGATGTGAATAGCGATAACCAACCTGATGTTATTCTTGCATACTATGGTTCGAACACCGTCGGTGTTTTTCTCAACGCAGGCAATGGTAACTTTAATAATCCAACTACATACTCAGTTGGCGCAAATCCATCGTCAGTATTAGTTGTCGATGTGAATAGCGATAACAAACTCGATATTGTTGTTGCGAACAATGGTTCAAGCACCGTCGATGTTCTTCTCAACACGGGGAGTGGTACTTTTAATGCTCAAACTAATTACTCAGTTGGCATCAACCCAGTATCAGTAGCAGTCGTCGATGTGAACAGCGATAATAAACCCGATATTGTTGTTGCAAACTCTGGTTCGGACACCGTCGGTGTTCTTCGCAACACAGGCAATGGCACTTTTAATGCCCAAACTACTTACGCAGTTGGTACTACTCCATACTCAGTAGCAGTCGTCGATGTGAATAGCGATAATAAGCCCGATATTGTTGTTGCAAACAGAGATTCGAACAACGTCGGTGTACTTCTCAATTTAGGCAACGGCACCTTTAGCGCTGAAACCACTTATCCAGTTGGTTCTGTTCCATACTCAGTAGCAGTCGTCGATGTCAATAGTGATAACGAATCTGATGTTATTGTTGCAAACCGTAATTCGAACACTGTCAGTGTTCTCTTGCATTGTTAAGACTTATCGATGACTAACATTTATCTATTCATTAACATTTTACTACTCTGCTAAAAATATTACGCTTATAAAACATTATACGGTGCGAACTGCTATTTATGTTTGCTCGATATTAACAATTTCAACAAAACATTGCGATTATGGATAATATTGGCGAATACACCAGTATATCCATATATCGGCCAGTAATTTATTATTTTATAAATAACATTCCTAGTTATGGAACTTTTCTGAATGCATAGAACTATATGTATTGCAATTGCTGAAAGTTCAAAACATTAGTTTTGGACGTGTAAAACAATATAGAAAAGTTTATTATTTAAAAACTAATATAATATCTCTTCCTATTAACTATGTGACTTACAATAATAAGTCTTTTTGTTTGTTGTCCTCAATGATATTGAGTTAATGTGATTATATAAATTTAATCGCATGTTTAGATCAAATCTTATCATGAACATCGACAACACATCTTATTAAATATTTCGAGGATAAATTAGACAACTGATTTGTATTTCTTCTCAAATGAGAAATAGAACAACCCAACTTAATAATCGTTTGTATGTCTTTTTTGATAGGAAACACATGATTGTATTGTTAATAGTCCCAATAACAATAGAAATCAAAACAAGCTTATTGTTCTCATATGACAATGAATGACAAATTAACGTAAAACATCATTCTTCATATCACATGCAATTTTGTTACAAAGATACTTTAATCACAAACGATATGCTAATCAATTGTTTCATTTAATATTTGTAATACTGAATAACGTTTGCTTTAATTAAATCTTTCCATATATTTAATTAAATTATAATTGTCGATCTCAGTCACATAAATATGTTTAACAAGACGAATATTCATATTCACTTCAAGAGAATAAATAATATCATGTAAAACAAAAATCACAAATTCCAAATATATTATACAAGTGCTTTTTTGTTCATTATATACTATTTTATTCTTGGTGCCTCGTGTGAGAGCGTTTACAAACATCAATATGAAAGATGAAATAATTAAGCACAGAGTAATGTATTATCAAATGTAAATTTTGCTTCGTTGAAATACTAGTGAAAACAGATAAAGAGAGAGTAAAAAGAAATAAAAATAAAAACATAGATAGAAAAAAACGATTACAGTAAAGCTTGAGATATGTACTTCACTAGCTACCGTTTAATTCATGTGATGTTAATAAAGAGAAAATAATCAAGTCTATAGCCAGAAACATAAAACTTCGGAGCAGTATATACAACATGCATTATTTATATGATGAGTAACTAGTTGTATACCATTTAAAAAACAAGGTAATCATTGATCATATAATATTCCAGCAAATATGAGTTTGTGTGGCAAGAACTTCAGCTTATTTTATTATTTATTACAATGCATGTTAGAGAATTGTCAATAACACAATCTAACTTTATTATAAATATGTATGAGACACAAATGCCGAGATATTATTAATATTCGTAAGAAAAAGAAGTCATAAGCTGTTGTAAATAAAAAAATGCCTCTCCTATTAGTTTAAGAATTAAATAAAAGCTAGAAGTATATTTATTTAGTTTCATATATGTGTAACTATACTTTTTTTCCTCATCAAAAGAGTGTCTGATGATATGTTTATTAGCATGTCTATCAGTTAAGATTGACAGCGACAACTGATCGCGTTTCTTTTCGTTTTTATTGATGTCAAATTAATCGTAGGAGGAAAAGAAAAACTCGAGAGAATTATTTCTTATCTTATAGATATGTCAAAAAAAAGAATATATTGTTAAATTTGACATTTGACAAGATCAGAATAAAAAGTTTCAGATATCGAATAGTTTTGTTAAAAATGAAATATGATCAAGTTTTTATACTTCTTCTTCTTCTTCTTTTAACTTCAAATTGTTTATCAATTAATGATAACGATAAGCAATGTTCAATTCGAGATACTTGTTCAAATTCATCATTAATATCTCCATTAATATATGGCAATGAATCTTTTATTCAATCTCGAAATTGTTTTTGTGATTCGATTTGTCAAAAATATGGTGATTGTTGTAATCAATCAAAATTAATTAATTCAAATAAATATCAATGTATTGATTTTCTTTCACCAACATTATCTGAACAACCACGAATGATCTTCCCATTATCTGTATGGATGCGTACTAAATGTTTACGAGTTTATCTTGGATCACGTTCTGATATATATTGTCGAAATTTAAATAATCAAACTTTTAAAGATAATCCAATGTTATTTATTCCAGTTACAAGTATACGAACAAATGTAACTTATCGAAATTATTTCTGTGCATATTGTAATAATGCTACAAATTCTAATATACAAATTTGGGAATATAAAGTCTATTGTAGTGAAAATCAAACTAATTTTGATAATATAATTTTAAATAAGGAAGAACAAATGAATAATATTTATAATTTAACACAAAATTGTACAAGAACAATTATTTATCCACGTATTAAGAATGATTATGAACAACCATCCGTTTTTATCCGACCTTGTAAAAATTCATTTCCATCAGTATGTCCTTTGGGAACTTCAACTGATTTAGCTCGAAATTGTTCTTTGTCTTCGGCTGCTTATCGTTATGATATCATTTCCAAGATTATCTATTCAAATCCATATTGTGCAGAATGTAATAAAAATAATAATAGTAAAATAACATGTTTAGATCCATATCCACGTTCTGGTATATCTGGTGCACTTCAGCAACCTCCTTATCCATTATCAATATTATTTGATCCAAATTTATTAAATTATTATCTCAATTCGGATTTTAATAATATTTCTACAACTCATACGATCTATTCATTAAGTTATAAATGTAAACAATCAAATGAACTTTACAATTTATTTCTAAACAAATGTTCTCCAATAACAGATTTAAATAAACAAATAATTATTTCATTAAAATGTTCATATCCAGTTTTAACATTAGAAAAATCTACAAGATTTAATAATGGAAGTTTATATCTAGGAAGTCAATCAATATTTTTAACTAAAGATCAATATGTATCTATTAATGATTATGGAATTATTTTTTGTTCTGATCAATGGAAAAATATTAAAACTACATTTCCATTTTATCGCCATATCTTATCTATGATATGTACAATAATATCTTTAGCATGTCTTTTAATATTCATGATAACATTTTGTTTAATTCCATCCTTACATAATCTTCCGGGTAAATGTCTTTTACTTCTTTCAATTTCGATATTTCTTGGTCAATTAATATTTCTTTTAACATCTGATCCTATACAATATTCATTACTTTGTTTTATATCAGCTATTCTAATACATTACTTTTATTTATCATCATTTTTTTGGTTATTAATTATAGCAATTCATATACATTCAACATTTAATCGTGAAACTGTTCGACGAACAACTGTTAAAAAAGATAATTTTCATTTATTAAACTCTAATATATTTGTTTGGTGTTCAACAGGAATTATTATCTTCATTGCATGTCTCATACAATTTACAAATATTCAATCAAGTTTTTCACCAAATTATGGAGATTTATTTTGTTCAATATCAAAATCAAATGCAATGATTGTATTTTTTCTTTTACCAATTGGTTGTTTACTTTCAATTATAATAATTTTATTTTTGAAAACAATTTTAGCAATTCATCGTTCACATACAATAGCTAAATTGGCAAATTCATCAACGTTATCAAATAATCATTTTGTATTTATTTATGCACGTTTAGCATCATTAATGGGTTTACAATGGATTTTATTAATTTTTGCACTTATTTTTCGTCAAAATTGGTTATGGATTATTTTTGAAATAATAAA